GGAGACGCCTGCCACTTTTTTCTTTTATCATCCTTTTCCCTATAACGTAAATAGATCGTAAAGTGACTGCTCGCGTAATTTTACTACTAGATATAATGATGTCATAGAGAGTTTGTCTTTTATTTGTCTCTCATATATTCATAATTTTCAAAATGATAATTCCAATAACTCCAGGACCTCCAAACCTAGGTCACTGTAGGAGGCTAAAGACTCCGTCCCCTCAGTCCACCCACCCCACCTTTCCATCGCTCGACGGGAGGAAGAACTGGGTAATTGAAAGTGTGGTTGTGCCTCGTAGAGTTACTCGAATCCTTTCAACCTACATGCACGCCAGTTCTCTCTTTTCCTTCTGAAATTTAATCCGAAAACGTCATAAAGTATGCGGGTTATTACTCCCTGACAATTAAGACAAAGCCAGGAAGATCTTTAATATTAGCACACACGAAATCCCCATTCGCGTTAGATAATATGTTACCGATGCACAAGTTAATTAGCAAAAATCTCTAGATAGCATTTCTGCATAATACCGACGTAAAGTGTTCATTACTATGCTGGGTAATCCTTACACATTAAGTACTATGGTTTTTAACTGAATATTTGTTTTTGTAGTTGCTAAACGGCAAGCAAGTGTGGATTTTATCTTTTCTTATTTTTCCTTTCTCTTTTTACCGCTGCCATTAATATTTTTGAATTAGTGTCTTAATTGTTTTAAGTCTAAAATAAAATGAACAGTTGTGGTGAAATACTTGAGACATTTCTTACTTAACAGAAAAATGGCAAGAAGTCAGATGTGGAATTTTGTTTTGTAATACTTTTTTGTCAATTAATCGCTTATTAGACATACAAAACATCCTTTGACTTTGTAGAGGCCTCTGATGATCTTCTATAGAATGCAATGAAATCTGAATACCTGAAAGAGAGGCTGCATAAGACTTAAGAACTGGGAAAAAAATAACCCGAGTTTTCAGAATCTGATGAAAGTTCAAAACATGATTTAACGACCTGGCAGAGTTTTGTTTGAGTAATCTGGTCTTGCGTAAGTACTTGAGAGCTAACCTCATCTTAAGAATAATTGAAGACAGAATAGATGAGTCATTTCCTTTAGATGTCCTTCTTTATACCCATATTCCTAGCTTATCCTGAGAGATATTCACACACATGCACTGACACACATACACGCATAAACAGACACGCACACACACACACACACACACACACACACACACACACACACACACACACACACACACACACAAACAGACACACTCACACACACAAACACACACGCACACATACACAGAGGAAGAGAGAGAGAGAGTGAGAGTTAATCGTGACCTTACTTTAGTATGAATCTTAACTCAAAAATTACCATTGTAACTAGAGTAAAATGTACGTAGATGAATTACACATTTAATTTTCTGCGGGAATATACATATACGTCAGGTTCAGTTAAAATCTGCCATCCCACGTACAGCTGTTGTCAAAAAGTTGCCATCATAAATTTGAACTCCCACGAGGGGTCAACTATTGTTACATTTTACTGGTTAGTCTCTCATTCCCAATGCTCTCTCTCTCTCTCTCTCTCTCTCTCTCTCTCTCTCTCTCTCTCTCTCTCTCTCTCTCTCTCTCTCTCTCTCTCTTGTTCGCGAACCGCGTTAACGGATAAAACAAAACATGGAACGGATAAGATGATAAATAAGTTTAAACGGGCTAGATCCCCCTCCCCTTCTCTTCTCTTCATCTTCCTCACAGTACGGTCTATCAAGTTTATATTTTAGGAAAGGATAATTGTACACATACAAGGTCTCTTCGATTGAAGTCTGGTATGATGTGATTATGAAAGAGTGAATGTGTTTTATGATAGTCTGCAAAGTCCTTTGATTAATTTATATGTGTGGGGCCTTTGTATGTGATTCAGAGTGTGAGGGAGATACATAAAGAAAATATGAAAATGTATGTGTAAAAGAGCTTACGAAGTATCTGTGTACATTAGAGTGACTTAGACCATGTAAAATAACCTAAACACAGCCAGTGCGGGTGAGGGAAGGGTACAACTCAAGAACAGCGAATGTGCCAAGATGTACAATCTTACCTCGCGCTGGGGTACGGCGTGGCGGAAGGTGGATGTGTACGCACGTGTACGCTATGGTAAGTGCGCTGAGCACAGATTTAGTTGCGGAATACGAAGGGTTTATTCAAGGCCACAGGGGGCGTTAGGCAGAAAAGAGAGACAAGAGGAGCAAGAGAGGCTGAGGGAGGGGTGGGGAGAGGGCGAAGGAGAAGAGAGCGACCGAGAACGAGGTCACGATAGGGATGGGCTGGGGCGGATGGGGTCGAGGTCGGGGATGGGCAGGGGGCTTCCTTGAAGGGGAGCATGGGGTTGGAGGGAGGGGCTAAGTCAAGACGAAGGAGGCCAGGCGGAGAAGAGACAAGCGACCTGTGGGTGTGGGCAGGCAGGTGGAGGATGGCTTACCGTGCGTGTAGAGAGAGGGCTGCTTACCTCTCTCGGTGCCCGTGGGCATTTCCGGGGCACTGACGGCGCCGTCGCTTTCGTCCTCGCTCACCGCGGGGCCTCCGCGCGCCTCGAAGCGCACGTGGGAGCCGCCGCGGTGGCGCGAGTGGCGCGGCAGGGAGTTGGAGCGCGCGGCTGCGGCTCCGCCGGCGGGCACGTGGTGCGTGCCCCTCGCCCGCGCCAGCAGCGACGAGCGGGGCAGCGTGACTTCCGTGTCGCTGGCGTAGTCCACCGAGCGCGTCCTCTGGCGCAGTGCGCTCAGGCGCCGCATGGTCTCCTGGTAGCGCTCGAGCGTGGCGCGGTCCGTGACCTGCGCCCCCGACGGGTACTGCAGCGTCGACGCCTTGATGCGGCGCGCGGACGGGCCGCTGCCCTCGTAGTCGCTCAGGCTCTCGCGCTCCGTCGCCGGCAACCGCTGGTCGCTGAGCGTGCGCGCCAGGCGGGGCCGCCCCACGGTGGTCGTGCGGCCCAGCGTGCCGTACATGGGCGGCTCGCGCGAGCGGTCCTGGCGCGGCGGCCCGGCCATCGGGGGCTCCGTGCCGGGCGGCCCGTAAAACGAGTGCACGCGCTCCGCCAGCGACTCCAGCGTCTTCGGGTACGAGCGCTCGTACGGCGTGAAGTGCTGCTGCTGCTGCGGCCGCGGCTGCTCCGTGATGACGGGCGGCGGTGGCTGGTAGTAGCGCTCGATGTCGGAGCCGAGCGGCGGGCGCGGTGGCGGCCCGTACGGCGGCAGCGGCACGCTGGCCTGGCGCGCGCTGCGAGGCTGGTAGCCGGGGTGCGTGGCGTGCGGGCCCATGGCGCCGGGGGGCACGCCCGGGGGCCCTTGCTGGGGCACGCCGTACGGCCCCTTGGGCGGGATGCCTCTGGTGCCGTAGTATATGAGCGGCTCCTCGTGACGCAGCGCCGACATGTTCTCGGGCGGCCGGTAGCGCGGCAGCGTGCTGAAGCGCGACTCCTGCGACGGAGGCACGCCGGGCGGCGGGCGCGAGGGCGGCGGCGGCGGCCGGCCCATGGCGCCCAGCCGCAGCATCTCGCCGTTGCTGTTGGAGTCGTCCAGCGGCTCCTCCTCGTACTCCTTCTTGATGACGACGACCGGCGGCGGCTTGGGCTCGTGGCGCGGCTGCGGCGACGGCGGCGCCCCTCGACCGCCGCGCCGCGAACGGGTGGTGAGCAGCAGGCGCCGCGGGATGCTCATGATGATGACCACGTCGTCGAGCCCCATGCGCGTCACGTCCACCAGGTTCACGGCCAGGATCTCGTCGCCGACGCGCAGGCAGCCGCTGTTGTAGACGGGCGACTCGAGCGCGATGCGCGAGATGAAGACGCCCTCCGCACGGTCGGCGCCGTTGCCCTCGCGGATGTACAGGCCGAGGGTCTGGCCCGGCCGCTTCACGATCTCCACCATCTGCACGCTAAACTTCACATTCTGCAATGGCAAATGCAACTCTCAGTGAGGGCGTCGGACTCGGCACATGCTTCAGATGCTGCCCCTTTATGAGGCAAGGCCTCGCTCCCCCGGCCTCTCGACCGGCGTCCGGGGGGCAGCGCGCAGTGCTAATCTTCACTGCCTTTATTATTCTAGCTTAATTGTGCATGGCAATCATAATATTTGCGAATTGAACTGATGGGCACAAAATAGTCATATCAACAACCGTACCAGAACTATAAGAAAAATAACAATAACATACATTAACACACGACAATTAATGAACAAAACAAGAACAAGACTGCATAGTTTCACAGTGCATGACAAGCAACTGGCGGCCTGATATGTTATCATTATCAGAACTATACGTTCATTAGTTAAAATATGTTGATACTGTTATTTCTTCATTACTATGCCGTGGGTGTTGACGCTATTATTCTTCATTATTGTTATCATTATCTCTCCTACAAATATCACAAGCACCTTTATTTACGACCCCCTTAAACCCTTTGAGCTCAACGTCACGAGCGGCCTTAAATTCCTCACCTGCAGGGCTAAGAACCGCTTCGCCTGGTCGTACGCGCCCTTGCTGAGCGTGCGCGGGTCCAGCAGGCGCACGACCATCTCCCCTCGTCGCTCCACCGCCTCGAGAGCCGCTGCCGTCGACGCATCGTGGTCGTTCTCGACGGTTTCGATTTGGCGGAAGATCTCTGTGCTGATACCGCTCACCTGCCGAGGGAAAGAGGGGGGGGGGTTAGTTTGTTGTTTGTTTGTATGTCTGTTGCTGATCAGTGTTATCATTATCACCGTTGTTGTTGTAACCATGCTTGTCATCATTATCATCATTATTAGTAGTAGTAGCATCACTGTTCCAATCATTAGTACCATTACTTCTCCAACTATTATTTTAATTATCACTGTTGTAGCTGTTATTATTATCATTACTAGCATTGCTATTCTCACATTTATAAACATAGTACTTTTATCATTATTATCACTAACTATATCATTAGCGTCATTATTATCATTGTTACTATTACTATTATCATAACTTATTATTACTATTACCATTATCATTATCATTATCATTATTACTATTATTATTATCATAATTACTATTATCATCTGTATTATTATTATTATTATTATTATTATTATTATTAATATTATTATTATTATTATTGGTATTATTACTATTATTTTTATCATTATTATTATCATTATCAACATCATTATCATCACTATCATTATCATTACTATTGTTATTACTGTTATCAATATTATTATTACCAGTACTATTATTATTATCATAATTAGTATTGTTACTTTTATCATTATCGTTTTGTTATTATTATTTTCATCATTATAATCATCACCAGGAAAATAACCCGAGTAGGTAGAAGTAATGAATGAATGAAAACTTGTTTGTAACATAAACACAGGGAAATGTTATGCTAAAGTAGACTCAGAAGACAAATAAGAGTGTGTATGTATAAACAGTTGTAATAATAGTAAAATAATAATAGTAATAATAATAATAATAATAATAATAATAATAATAATAGCAGTAGTAGTAGCAGTAATAGTAGTTGTAGTTGTTGATCTTGTTGTTGTTATAGCAATAATGGTAAGGATAACAGTAAGGATATTGATAATAATAATGATGATGATACTAATAATAACAGTAATTGTAATAACAACAACAACAACATAATGATAATAATAGTAATAATTATAACAATAATAATAATAATAATAGTAATAATAATAATAATAATAATAATAATAATAATAATAGTAATAATAATGATAATAATAACAACAATAATGATGATAACGGCAGTAGCAGTAATAATGATAATAATATTAACAACAGCAATAATGATGATAATGATAATAATAATAATAATAGTAATAATAATAATAATAATGATAATAATAATAATAATAATAATGATAATAATAATAATAATAATAATAATAATAATAATAATAATAATAATGATAATAATAATGATAATAATAAAATCAATAATAATAAAATCAATAAAAATTATAAAATAAACCATCTACTATACATGGATGATCTTAAAATATTTGCACAAAATGAAAATGAGATAACCACATTAGTAAAAGAAGTACAGCAATTCAGCCAGGACATCGGCATGGAATTCGGAATTAATAAATGTGGAGTGTTAAACATCAAAAATGGAAGAGTAACACATACTGACGGAATCGAAGTCGGGGAAAACATCATCAAAAATATCGAAACAGACGGTTACAAATATCTAGGGATATTAGAATATGATAACATAAAACATGAAGATATGAAAGCAAAAATTAAAAGAGAATACCTCAAAAGAATAAGAGCTATCCTAAAATCGGAGCTAAACGGAGGGAACACGATAAAAGCCATCAACACCTGGGCTATACCTGTGCTACGATATTCGGCAGGTATAATAGACTGGACAAAGCTAGAACAACAGAAAATAGACAGAAAAACCAGAAAACTGATGACTATCTACCATTCTTTGCATCCAAGAGCGTGCACAGCAAGATTATACCTAAAGAGAAGTGAAGGAGGTAGAGGATTAATAAGCGCAGAAGAAGCCATCAGAACCGAATGCTGCGCCCTGGGCCAATATATAAAGGAATCTACCAACCCAATCCTAAGATTGGCCTGGACCAACAATATAATAAAAGAAAACGAAGATAGCAAATCATACAAAGAGAGAATGACAGAGGAGAAAAGAACTGAATGGATAGAAAAACCTCTCGCAGGGCAATACCATCGCCAAGTACAAGAAATCCAGGGCAAGAACAGCTGGAACTGGTTAAAAAGAGGAGAAATAAAAAAAGAAACGGAGGGACTAATAACATCAGCCCAAGATCAAGCTCTAAGAACCAGAGTAATAAGAGCAAGAATAGAAGGTAGAGGGGGGAATACAAAGTGCAGAATGTGCGGCCAAAAGGATGAGACCATAAATCACATCACCAGTGAATGCTCCAAATTGGCACAGAAGGAGTATAAAAGGAGGCACGACAAAGTAGCCACAGCAGTACACTGGGCACTTTGCAAACACCACAAACTCCCTAGTACAGCACGAGCACGAGCCACAGGCAGTAGTAGAAGATGAAAAAACAAAATTACTATGGGACCAATACATACAAACAGACCAAGAGGTCCAAGCTCGAAGACCAGACATAGTAATAATAAGAAAAGACAAAGAAGAATTTGACATAATAGACATAGCGGTACCATACGATTCCAGAATAATGGAAAAAGAACGAGAAAAAATTGAAAAATATCAAGATCTTAAGTTCCAAATGGCAAGATGTTGAAAGATGAAAGGAAAAGTAATACCAATAGTGATAGGAGCATTAGGAGCTATGCCACCAAAGCTGGATGAATATCTAAAAAGAATTGGGTGCGACAGAATACATCCTGGCCTAATACAAAAAAGTGTGTTACTCAGCTCAGCTGGAATATTAAGAAGAATCCTCGACACTTAAGACACAGGCAGTGCCCCGTGAAGAGTCTCAAAAATAAAGACAAGAGAAA